TCACAGCACATCAAGACGGCCGTATCCGCGTATGGAACCGATCCCCCCGCTCCGGCCTCCATCGCCTCGTGGACACCCTCCCCACCACTGCCGATCGTCTCCTTCGATTTCCCCTCCCAAAAAACCACATAACGATCCGTCGCCACCACAAACGGCTCTGGATTGAGCACGCGGATGCTGTATCTGGAATCGTCTCCCAGGCTTCCGGCCTCCTCTACTCTGTTTCATGGGACAAAACCCTCAAGATCTGGTCGGTCTCCGCCCTTCGATGTCTGGAATCGATATCGGCGCACGATGACGCCGTAAACGCCGTGGTTGTCGCAGAGGACGGCACCGTGTATACGGGATCGGCGGATCGGAGGATTCGGGTTTGGGCGCGACTGGATGGAGCGAAGAAGCATGAGCTGGTAGCGACGCTTGATCGGCATCGATCGGCGGTGAACGCGCTGGCGCTGAGCAGTGATGGTTCGATTCTGTATTCCGGGGCTTGCGACCGGTCGGTTTTAGTGTGGGAGAGGGAAGAGAAGGTAGGTTGCATGAAGGTCACCGGAGCTCTGCGGGGGCATGAGAGGGCGATTCTTTCGCTCGCTTGTGACGGGGAGATTGTCGTGAGTGGCTCTGCTGATGGGGTTGTGAGGGTTTGGAGAAGGGATGGGATAAGGAGGGCGTATGATTGCCTGGCGGTAATGGAGGGCCACGCAAAGGGCGTGCGGTCGCTTGTGCTGGTGAGGATGCCTGTGTCCGGCGGAGATCGGGGAGGTTCCGGTGAAGAGGAGTATAGAGTTTGCAGTGGGAGTTTGGATGGAGAGGTTAGGGTTTGGCGGCTTCTTATCTTTTCCTACTGAAGTTTAATCAGCAGCAAGCATGCTGGATTAATTCTGGAGCTAGTCTTTGGAGAGCAAATATTATTTGTGTGGTCGGCTCGATTACATGTCCGAATGATGATTTGAATGAGCTATCAACTGTGTGATTGTTTCGGACCTTCGTCTGTACGTACAGTGCGGCACCTTCGATGGATATTGATTGCTCTTTAATAAGTTGGAGATTATCTTGAGATTTTTCTCATGACCTTAATATAGAAATGATATTGCATCTGCAATCTGGACGTAAAATTATGCCCGGATAATAGACCTGATACACCGGCTGGAGCGGAGGAGGAAAAAAAAAAACAAACTCCCCTAGTGTATCACGTCCGTTATCCAATCGTAGTTTGCGTCCGGCCTCCAGAGGTAATATTTTTTTTCTTAATATATGGTTTTGATTGTCATTTTCTTGTTTATGATGTGAAGTTCCACCTATAACTTCTTGGCCTTCAATTCCTCTTAAAGTTTCACTTTGAAAATATATTAGGATTATTCTTTAAAAAATTTTTGTCAGAATCTAATATTTCTTTTTTCAAATTATCATATTTTGGTTTAAGAGTGATGATATATTTGAAAATTTTAAACTGCACTGATCTTGTAAATCAAAAATTGAAGCTCATCCTGATTAAAATTTCTATTATGTTCTTCCTTTTTTTTCATTTTATAATAAGATTTATGCTATTTAAAAATAAGTTTCAATTATTAAAAAAA